TTTAGAAAGGAGAAGGGAGAGAGAGAAACATCGATTTGTTGTCCCACTTATTTATACATTCATTGGTTGATTCCTGTACATGCCCTGACTGGGGACTGAACCTGCAATCTTGACGCATTAGGATGATGCTCTAACCAACTGAGCTATGTGCCAGGGCTGAATATTTTTATATACAAGTTATTTTATTTTTATAACTCAAGGTTCTGATATCTAAGATATACACTGATTTTTAAGGGTGGATTTTTAAGGCAAGAACTCTGTATGGCAAATGACGCAAGAACATCAATATTTAAGGACTAAGAAATCAGTTTCTTGTATTTTATATATTAAATCTAAAGTATTTTACAACTAGAAGAAAAGCTTATGTAGCAGAAGGGGTTTCAAAACACCACTGGATTAAATCATGGTTAAATTCATCTGATGACTTCTCAGTGAGTTTGGTAAAGCTCATGGACACCAGACCAGGCTCGAGCTGGCCCGACAGCATCCCATCCAGCCCGCTCTCACTCGCCAGGACACATCCCAAACGTTCTGGCTCACACACAGAACTTGGCTCAGAGTGACATATTCTACAAGTGCCTCCACCCCCATCTCATCCTTGAGGTCTCAGCTTAAATGTTACTTTATGCAGTCTGGTCATCCAACCCCCTCACCCCAAGAGGTACATTTATTCTTCAGTTCCTCACTGGCGTCTCTCAACACTCGCAATTATTGGTGCCTCCCCTAAGCATAAAAGCTCCTTTAGGACCAGTACAAGAGCTCGTCTTATTTTCATCATCATGTCCAAGCCCCAGCCCAGTTTCTGTATAGTTAAGTGTTTCCCCAGTGAGTGGATGTTCCAATATTTGCTGACTGCATGAGTGTGTAGCTACCATGACTTAATTTAAAGTCTAGGAGATCAATGAATACTTTACGAGCTGTAAAAAGAAAAAGCTGGACAAGGACTTCCAGTCGTGATGGTGGAGCAGGTAAACGCTGTGCTTGCTTCCTCCCACAACTACATTATGGAACCACCACCACTGAGAACTGCCTGAAGACCAGCTGAACAGAATCCCTAAAACTAAGGACATGAACAAGAAACTGAGTTCAGAGTGGTAGGAGGGGCAGAGACACGGAATGGGCTGGTCCCACATCCACATGTGGCGGTTAAGAAACAGGAGGGACATCTACGCTGCAGAGGTCCCACCTGAGGTGTGAGAGGTCCTAGACCCACTGGGCTCCCCAGTCCAGGACAACAGTGCTGGGAAGAGGAGTCCCCACAATGTCTGGCTGTGGACACCAGCGAGGATTGCACTGCGTGAGACCTAGGTGCTGCTTTTGAGGGCCCGGGCATGGACTCCCTCGCTCACTGGCTCTGGGCTCCAGGGTAGGGCACAGGGAGGAACTGAGTTGACTAGTTTCCAGGCCAGAGCTGGAGTGGTAGGGGTTCAGGGAAGCTCCCTCCAGGGACAGACACCACTGTCTCTGTGTTGTGTGCTCCTCCCTCCCAGGTGGCAGGCACCAAATCTGTGTTCTCCATTAACCTGCTAACACCTGTTGGCCCAGCCTTGGTGATTCCCTGAGAACCCACCCCTCACAACTCATGCACCAGCCTGAACCTCCTCCAGCGGCTTTTCCAAAAATCCCTCAAAGGTCCACAAGCCCAAACAAGCAGCGGCTGGCCCCAGCACGCCCTGTACCTCTTGCTAAGCAGCCCCAAGCCCAACACTAGTGGTAGGGCGAGGGTCTCAAGGTCTGGGAGGTTGTTACTAAATGATACTCTTGCAAAATGTTGAAATGTAGCACAGCAGTTTGCAGACGTAGCTGTAAATAGGATGAGCTTGACAGGAACCCAACTGTAAGTTGGGTACAGCCAACTGCAAAGAAGAAATGAGCCAAATAATGCATACAAGCAATGGCTAAGCCTTCCTTCAAGAAGACAGAGCTTTGGGTATGAATCCCGTCTCCTTTACTTGCTGCAAGCAAATAAAACTACCTAATGACAACCACATCTTGTTCTTGACTAGAACACCACAGATGGCGAGCCCGAGTTCGCTAACACATATGGCGCCAGGTCTCTACTTGCATGTAACTCTCATCAGGTGGCCACAATCCTGGCATAAGCGGTGGCCAGTCTTGGCTTGCAATGTAGCTTCAACTAAGCAGTCACAACCCTGGGATAAGTGGCGGCTGGCCTCAGCTCATATCATGATGCCCACTAAATGGTCCCAAGCCTGCAGCTAGCAGCAGCTGGCCTCTTTCACAGCATAGCTTCTGCCTAGCTTCTCCAAGTTCAGAACAAGCGGCAACCAACTGCAGATCTTTCTAGGTCCTACTAGGCGGCCCCACGCCAGACACAAGTGGTGGCTAACTTTGGCCTGCACCAGAGCCTCTTCCAAGAGGCCCAAGGACCAACACGAGTGGTGGCCAGCTTCAGACCACACTAGAGCACCACCCAAACAGCTCCACAAATGACACACCCGAGCAGACTTCACTGACACCAGAGTCCCACTAAAGAGACTCCTCCTTTATGGGGTCAGCCCCTACACACGGCTCATTCACTGTAGCCATGGCAAGCCCAGATAGCCAGTTAGCCTGAGGAACAACCCCACCCTCTAACATGACAACAGCGATCAAGGGTCAACTACAAGAGGCCACACACATCCCACACAAGAAACACTCCAGGTGCCCTGGCCAGCTTGGCTCAGCGGTTAGAGTGTCGGCCTGCGGTCCAGAGAGACCTGGGTTCGGTTCCCGCTAAGGGCACATATCTCGGTTGCAGTTTGTCCCCGGCCCTGGTTGGTTGTGCGGTGGCAGCCACTTGATGTGTCCCTTTCACGTCGATGTTTCTCTCTCCCTCCCTCCCTCCCTCCCTCCCTCCCTCCCTCCCTCCCTCCCATTCTATCTGAACAAAAAATGGAAAAATGTCCTCAGGTGAGGAGAAAGGGAGGGAGGGAAGAAAGAAAGAAAGAATGAAAGAAAGAAGACAGACTTCAGGAGCCATGGCCAGATGAATAGAAAATCAATGGACAGATCATCCAGACAGAAAATCAACAAGGAAACAGCGGGCTTGAAGGACACATTAGACCAGATGGATTTAATTGATGTGTTCAAAGCACTTTACCCCAAAGCAGCAGAATAGACATTCTTTTCAAGTGCACATGGAACATTTTCCAGGATAGGCCACAAAACACATCACAAAGAATTTAAGAATGAAATCACATGCGGCATCTTCTCTGACCACAATGGTACAAACTAGAAATCAATTACAAAAAGAAAAGTGAAAAACACAGCAAATGCATAGAGGTTAAATAATAAAACAGAAACAAACGGACAGATACAGAGAATAAATTGATGGTCGCCAGGTGAAAGGGGGCTTTGAGGGAAGGGTAAAAAAGGTGAAGGATTAAGAAGTACACATCACCAGTTACAAAAATAACCACAGGATGCAAAGTACAGCATAGGGATTAGAGTTAATAATGTTGTAATAACTATGTACGGTGTCTAATGGGTACTAGACTTATCAGGGTGACCACTTTGTAAGCTATATAAATGTCTAATCGTTATGCTGTACACCTGAAACTAATGTAATATTGTACATTAACTGTAATAGACTTTTTTTTTAAGGAGGGAAGAAAAGAACAGGATGAATGGGTCAAGTTGTAGTAGTGTTTCTTTAAGTCAAACAAGTAAATGCTGTGATTTGCAGCCGCCTCTAACCTATTTAAGGCTGTTTGTCTCCTTACAGAAAAATTCTCATCTGCTCTGGAGCAGTCTTCTTTACCTTTTTGTTTTCTCCTTCCCATGTCTACAAAAAAAACTAAGATCACAAAGTACTTTGCAGAAAACCCACAGATTTGTTTTATAAAACAGAGCTATGTGCATTTAACTCAGCCCACTTCTATTCTGTAGTTTCCCTATGGCCTGGTCATGATTCTATTCCATATATGCTTGTAGAGCAAAATGATAGGAATTGTGTTAGTCACAAGTTGTTGAGTTTTCCTGTTTGAATATCTGTTAAATGTCAGGCACTGTGTTAAGAACGTTACTGTTACCATATCCACCAAACACCATTTATCATTTACAATGAGACAGGCCACTGTTTTCTATACTTTACAAATGTTCATTCTTCTCTGAAGTAGATACTATAATCATCACATCACAGGTATCACAGATATTGGAACAGAAGCACAGAGATGCTATGTGCCTTGCTAAAGGTCACACAGCTATTACACAGCAGACATAGGATGCTGACTCGAATCCATGTTGGGAAGACACAACTGTCTCACCAAAGACGACTAAGGCTGTAAGACCATATCCATAAGGGCTGCACCCTTAAAAAGTCTGTAACTTTTAGGGGAAATAGAACTGTAACCAAATATTTATTACACATTTGTGCTAAGTTTAATACGCATGTATGAGGTACAGAGGAGAGATTAACAATTGTGCTTGAAGCTTTATGGGAAACAGATACCTTTATAGCAAAATTCAATGAAATCCTTAGTACTTATCTTCCTTTACCTCTTGGAAGCATCTGATACTTAATTCCATTCTCGTCTCCTCTGGATTGTGTTTTCCTCCCATTCCTCTAGTGCCGCGGTTCTCAACCTGTGGGTCACAACCCCTTTGGGGGTCGAACGACCCTTTAACAGGGGTCACCTAAGACCATCGGAAAACACATATTTCCGATAGTGATTCATAACAGTAGCAAAATTACAGTTATGAAGTGGCAACGAAAATACTTTTATGGTTAGGGTCACCACATGAGGAGCTGTACTACAGGGTCGCAGCATCAGGAAAGTTGAACACCACTGCTCTAGTGGAAGCTCTTCTCCCTCTGCCCATCCCTTAGACGCGGAGAGCCTGGAGTCTACTTTAGGCTCTCCAGCCTGGTCACTTTACACATTCCCTCCCCTCCCCACTCCATCTACTCCAAATGATTATAATACCAACTAAATGCTAATAACCCCCAAATCTGGATCTTCAGCTCAAATTCCTCCTGTTTCAGACCCAGGGCACACCTGCTCAGAAGTTTCAGTTACACAGCCCCTCATGTGCAAAGGTTCTTTGTGATGGTACTTCAAACTTAAAAGGTCAAAAAACAGCTCAGCATCCAGTTCCTTATCAGGTGCTGCAGGTCTCTGAAGGGCAGAAATAATCTCTGGGTGAGAGGATTATATGTGGTTACTTCCCTCTTCCTGTTTCAAGTACCAACACAAGTAGTTACTGATTTCGAAAGACTGTCAGGCACTTTAGCGATGTGCGAGTAAGCACACTGCTTGCATCAATTCCAATAATCCCATGCAGAATGAGAGAATGATGGACCAAAGGAAATTCAGGAAAGTGGTTAAGCCTGAAACCTTGAACTAGCTTGAGATTCTTTTCAGGGTATTCTTAAAAAGAAAAACTAACTGAAAAATACTCCCTTTGACCTGTAAATAAACTGAGAAATGAAAGCACTGTTTAGACTTGAAACAAGAATCTGAAAGCTTAAAAAAAAAAAAAAAAGGTATCATCTGCCACAGAGGTCACAGAACCACTAGAAAGATGAGAGTGACATAGAAGAAAAGGTTCTAAAAGCATTGCTTTGCTGAACAGGTAGGTAGCAAAAGTCTTACAAAGTGATTGGTAAAAATAATTGAGAAAAAAAATAGAGGTGAGAGAAAAACAAGTTAGAGAGAACTTACAATACACTTTCTTAAGCCGGTGTGGCTCAGTGGTTGAGTGTCGGCTCATGTACCAAGAGGTCGCTGGTTCGATTCCCAGTCAGGACACACGCCCAGGTTGTGGGCCTGATCCCCAGTGGGGGGCATGCAGGAGGCAGCCAACTGATGTTCTCTCTCATCGATGTTTCTATCCCTCTCTTGCTCTCCCTTCCTGTCGCTCTAAAATCAATAAATAAAAATTTTAAAAAAGTCAGTGCAAGGGAGAAAGTTCAGATGCAGTCTAGGAGTTGGGCAGCCTGGGCCTGAGGGACACGACCTCTCCTCCCCAACTGGAAAAGCAACAGGCCCGTGTCAGCAGTGCAAGAAATACAGAAGGTACATCGAAGGAGAAAGAGCACGTGAAACCCACCCTGTAATCTCACCTCGAGAGAACCACCTTTGACGTTTTGGTTTATGTGGAGAGAAAAAGCAGTTTGAAAAAAGTACAAGCATCCTGGTTTCATGTTCATATCAACTCCAAAAAACTGGGCTCTGAAGAGTGTGCCCTGGCTTTTACACCAGGAATTTTCTTTTATGGACGTCCCCCTTCTCAGTTTAAAAAAAAACTTTCTTCCCTCATTCATCTTGGCGTCTCAGCAACATTAACTTTTTAGAATCCTCACATAGCTTGTGGATCCCTCTGAAGAGCAGCAGCACAGGTTTCTATAGCAGAATAAAGAAAGCAGGGGTAGCCTGGCTGGTGTGGCTCAGTTGGTTGGGTGTTACTCCATGCACCAAGAGGTCGCTGGCTCAATTCCTGGTCAGGGCACATGCCCGGGTTGTGGGCTCGGGTTGTGGGCTTGATCCCTGGTGGGGGACTTGCAGGAGGCAGTCAATCGATATTTCTCTCTCTCTCTAAAAATCAATAAAAATATTTCAAAAAAAAGAAAAAGAAAGCAGGGGTACATTTCCAGCAACTGAGGGCAGTGAGGGAACTGGGGGGAGTGAGCAGAGGGCTAGCCCTGCCCCAGTGCTCATGGATATGACTTAGTGGGGTCTGTAACACTGTGAGGAAGTACGAAGTTCTCTCCACATGCAGGGCCCTGCCATGATTTTAGGGTTAACACTCAAACCTGCTCCAGTGCAGAAAACTAAAAAATTATAATGGGCTTTCTTTGAAGCTATCAATATAACAAGAACAGATACCATGAAAAAGGACCAAAAAAGAAAATAAGGGTAAGAAAAATCAGAGCAGCCCTGGCCAGTTTGGCTCAGCGGTTAGAGCGTTGGTCTGCGGTCCGGAGAGACCCGGGTTCGGTTCCCGCTAAGGGCATGTACCTCGGTTGCAGTTTGTCCCTGGCCCTGGTTGGTCGTGCGGGTGGCAGCCACTCGATGTGTCCCTTTCACATTGATGTTTCTCTCTCTCTCTCTCTTCCTCTCTCTCCCTCCTGCTCTATCTGTACAAAAAATAGAAAAATGTCCTCAGGTGAGGAAAAAAAAAAAAGAAAAATCAGAGCAATAGTAGGTGAAAATGTCCCAGAACTGAAGGACACGAATTTCTAGAATGACGGGACCCCCAGAGTACCCAGAACAGTCAATGAGGAAAACCCCACACCACGGTACATCATCATGATATCCCACAGCACCAGGGAGAGAGCTTATCCTCAAAGCTTCCTGTGAGGGAGAAAGGAAAGAAAAAACAAACCAACAAAATAAAGTCACGTGAAAAGGATCCGAATCACCACGCCACTAGAGCAATTACAGATGCGAGACAGTGCAATTATGCCTTCAAAATTCCAAGAGAAAATTGTTTCCAACCTAGAATTCTGTAACATTTCCAAGCTATCAAGCAAGTCTATGGGCAAGATAAAGTTATTCAAATACTTCTTAGTAAATAAGGGTGTATGCCAAGAAGTGGGCGACCAGGTGCCAGCCCAGGAGAAGAGTGAAGGGCAGTTTAACTGTATTTGGGCAGTAACTGCTGACAGAAAAGTCCAGAGAGGAGGAGGAGGAAGAAGATGCAGGGCTCCAACAAAAAAATGGAAGTGATGCATTTGAAATCATAGAAAATGTCACTGGCATGAGTGGGACAAATTTTTGAATACTTGGGAAAAGAATTTATAGTAGATACGTGAAAAAAGCAGGTCAAGGTCAACCTAAACACAAGGAAGGGCGGAGCTGAGACAGGTCACCTGCCTCAATGGTTGAATGATAACTGGCAGAGGTATAAACACATAAAAACTGTCTGTTTAACTAAAAATTACACAATAGCTGTGGCAGGGGTGGAGGACATGGGAAGGTAGGGAAACGGAGGGGTGGAAGAAGACGTCCTAAACCTCCCACAGCCAGAAGGGCCAAACACGGGGAAAGATGACATGAAAAATAACGTAGCAAATGATTTAGAAACATGAAGATAACATCTGTAGAAAGAGGAAAATAACTGAGTGGTCGCTTCTAAGAAATGAGAGTATGAGGTGAGGAGATTGGAGGGAATGATTTTTCCTTTTTTCTCCCATTGTAAGTCTTTTAATACTATCTGACTTTAAACCATATACATGAAGTTCTTTGATTAAAAAAAAACCAAACAGCAGTATTGAAAATTTGCCATTTTGCTCTCTACATTTTCAAGTAACCTCTCCTTTTGTGTGGTGTATTCATAAACAAAGGAACTTCTGGCCCCTAGACTGCTTGCTGGGCAGGAAGGAGCAAAGCAAACTGATCTCGGGCCTAACTCAGAATTTACTGACTCACCATTTCTAGAGGAGTGTTGTGTAGATTTAAAATTACCTCCGGTGAATTCTTATCAAGCAAGTTGGGGAAATGTTGACTAGCAGGTTAACCCAACATATACGCTATTGTGCCTAAGAATAAAAACCTTGGCCACTCTTTTCTGGAGAAGGAACTTTTGCTTGCTTGGTATCACAGCACAGTCTTAGCCAACAATGGGATCAGTAAACTCAGTGTGGATCTGGTTTTCTCCATCAGTTAACAACAGCTCAGCTCTCCTCGTAACAGCTACTGGAAGTTATTTTCATTAAATTAACAGTAGTATTAGAGCCAACATAGCATGTTCCAATGATTAACAATTAAAACACAACAATCCACATCTATAACTTACTGTTTCAATTTTCACGTAATCAAAGAATAGGTTTATTCAATTTAAGCAAGTATATGTTACAAATACCTTCTTGAATTTCTCTAGGAATCGTGATACCCTCTTGCTCTTAACCATACACGTGGTGAATATGCCTCAATTTTCCATTGTTCATGTTCTGGAAACATGGGCTCCACGTTAACCCTTCCAGTGTATATTCCTTTTCCCCTAAGATACCTTGATCATCTTCATTTACATAAATGCCATAAAATACAAAGCTCTTTACAATCTTGAAAATGCTCTAATGCAATGATCTTATTTTAACTTTTACTCATGAAATGCTACTTATAATTTGAGTGTTTACTACATGCTGGACACCACATATATTTATCTGGTGACTCACCACAGCAATCTTATTAGATATGTATTATCAATTCCATTGCTCATAAAAAGAAACAGGCTGAGGTGTAGTCGTGTGGGGACAGCCACCTCTTCCAGGCCAGTTGTCTTCTGTGGGCTGCCTCCAGTTTTCCTCCATGAAGCAACAATTATTTCCACATGTGTCATGATATGAAAAGAGTTTGAAAGTACTGGTTTAAGCTTGACCTGCTCTGATCATTACTCTAAAGCTGAATAACAGTATAACGAGGGGCACTAGTACAACAGAAACTCTTTACATTGCTGGTACAGAAAAAAGAACTAACAGCCATGGTGTAGGTCTATACTACTGATTTCTAATATTTTACTAAATTTTTACTGGTTGATTTATTTTAAAGGGGGGGGGGAGAGAGAGGGATGTTGTTCCCTTATTTATGCATTCATTGGTTGTTTTTTTGTTTTTTAAATTCTCACCCGAGGATATTTTTCTATTCATCTTCAGATAGAATGGGGGTGGGGAGAGAAACTTCAATGGGAGAGACAGACATTGATTGGTTGCCTCCTACACGACCCTGACCAGGGCCAGGATCGAACCTCAACTGAGTTAAATGCCCTTGACTGGAATTGAACCCAAGACTCTTTGATTTGTGGGCCAACACCAACTGCTGAGCCAAACTGGCCAGGGCCATTGGTTGATTCTTGGATGTGCCTGACAGGGGATCGAACCCACAACCTTGGCGTATAAGAATGATGCTATAACCAACTGAGCTACCTGGCCAGGGCTCTAATTTTCTTCTCTGCACTACCTCTGTCATGCCCACTTAGAAAATCTTAAGGTATATTCCAACACCACTCAACAAAACAACCTCCAAATAGAAATGTTAGCTCCCTGGCATAAGTTCACATTCTCCGGTAAAAAGCAAAAGAATCCTGGTTCTCTAGGACAGTGCTAAATGTATTCAAGATAAGTCTGAAATAAATCCCACTTGTTAAGAAAGAGAAGTACTTAGTGTCAGGGGAAAAGCTTTATAGAATGAAGCTTAGCGCTATAAAGGATCTTTTAAAAGACAAAAAACTGCAGCCCAAATTCCTTCAGTTCACCAGCTGCTGAACTGGTGGCCAGTCCACAGAGCTCCCGGCTCCCGACAGCTGCACTTCCAGGACACCTCCAGACTGCTCCTGCTAACTGCTTCTTTGACTCTAAAACCATAAAACAATGTCCAAGTACTTCCTGCTCTTCAAGGAAACTGAACTGCTGGTAATCTGCAACTAGCAAATCATTGTTTGAGAATCCAGAATTTAACCTTATGCCACACTACATAAACTTAAATTTGTGATATTTAAACACAGTTCCTTTATTAGCCAGTCCTTTTTATCTCTGTGAAATAAAAAGGTACCTTTGTTTTTGCATAGATCAGGAAATATCCTTAAAAATGAATTAAGTTTTTTATATTGTTATTTTGGGGGTACCTGATATATTATGGCATATCAAAATCTATGAACAGTGGTTGCTAGAGGAGAAGAGGGTAAAGGGGAGCAAATATAGGGTGATGGAAGGAGACCAGACTTCGGATGATGAGCACACTATCCAGCACACAGACGTGGTATTAAAAAGTTGTACACTTGCCATGGCCAGGTAGCTCAGTTGCTCGGAGTGCTGTCCCAATGTACCAAGGCTGCAGGTTCAATATCATATGAGAAGCAACCAATGAATGCATCAAGATGTGAAACAACAAATCAATGTCTCCTCTCTCTAAAAAAAAACAAAAACACAAACAAAAAAACAATAAACTATTCCTTCAAAAAAAAAGTTATTACATCTGAAATTTATTATCCAATGCTACCTCCAATAAATTACATTTAAAAACATATGCAAATATGCCATGTTTGAAATCTTTAAGAGTGAAGACAAATAGTTTCCTTCCTTGTACTGAGCAAACAGTCCAGAGGAGGTGCGCTCAACCAAAAAGACAATGTGAGATCGGTGCAGAAGTGGAAAAAAATAAACTGCCCAAGACCAGATCAACTGAGTGAGGAAGGAGGCAATGTAGCTTTAAAAAACAAGACATCGTATTTACATAAATTCTTATATACTTAAGAGAGCAACTCAACTTGAAGCCACCAAAGTGCATAGACTCACAGAGAAACATTAAGGAAGTTTTAACTTCTTTACCCATTCTGGCTATGACTGTACTGTGATACCAAACAAATACTTTGAATTCTTCAAATTTTTCTTATGACATTTCAACAACAAAAACCTACAAGTTCCTTCTTCGGAAAAATGTGTCCAGTGTTTTTATTCTTAGGGGCTATCATGCTGTCTTGGGTTAAACTGAAATCCAAGAACACAAGCTCTGTGTCACTAGCAATGACATCCGAGTTGGTTCTTCATTTTGTTTCCTGCTATAGGCGGCCAATTCTTCAAGAACAGGTATCATTTCTTCAATGCCATGGAGGACAGTTAAGGTAGAAATAGGTTTTCCCGGGCCCCACAAAACCATAAATGTACTATACCCAAAACAGCAATTGCAATTAATATAGCGATGTGAATTAAAGTCCTGATGTCCTTGGGGTAAAAAAGCCTACATGTACCTAAGTAATATGTGATGTGCGATTTTTCAGGGAATTAGGACCTGGGCTGGGAGTGTATCGGTAAAAGGTAATAACTTTTTTTGGGTGGAACTTCCAAACTTGCATAGGTCTGTGTCTTACCTGTGAATTTGCAATTTGGTGAGGGGAACAGAAGTGGAGAGAGAAGATGCTTCCCAAACGCGCTTGCAATTCTTTGCAATTCTATCCCCAGTATGTGTGTTATAACAGAAACACGCACAAGCTTTCTTTCCTACTCTTTACAAATAGTTACTCCTACCTCCATTCTTCAGGTTAAAAGATGACCGAACTCGGCCAAATCAAAATGTTCAGACACACCGAACACGAGTCTATGATGCACTTCATGTAATGCTTATTTGGGAGGTTACTCTGTGCCCGATGTGGGAATAAAAAAAAAGTCGATGAGTCCTTAAGGGGCTCCCAGTTGAAGAGCAGCAGCCAATGGTACACAGCTTGACTCGCACAACTCAAAATCAATTCACACTCAAAAGACAGTAGAGTAGGGAGAAAAGACCTCTGAATGAAGAAGCATAATGGTCTTACACTGACCGCCAAGATGGCAGCATCCTAGCGGATTTCCCAACTATCAAAGCCCTTTCCTTTTCCACCTGCACTCAACTGCCCTTTCGAGGAGCCAGACGCCTCAGTCCTCATCCCATCTAGCTCCAACCCCTCTTCGACGTCAAGCCATCCATCCGCTGGCTCCACTTGCGTGTTGGCCGGATTTCATGCTCGACGCGGCGCCCTCTGCCAATCCTTTCGGAGGGGCAGGACGCAAACCCAACCCCACTACCCACTGCAACTCCTCAGGCGGCCTTCGGTCCAAGCAGTTTGTAGCCCGTGTCCTCTGTCGTCGGGCCGTCCTCTCTCACAACTCGGCACTAGCTTTCTTCTCAGCAAACGGCAGGTGTGTCCCAGGGCGTTTTTAACATGACCATCCCAACCCGACGATCATCTTCCCAGCCACCCCTTGGTGAAATCGGAGGCAGTCGCTCAGGGCTGGGGCACGGGAGCCCCCACATTACGCGTGGGAAAGGGTGGGAGAGAAGAGGGTTTGGGCGGTTGCAAAATATGGAAGGAAAACCGAGGGGAAGAGCAGGGGGGTCGGTGCTCTGTACTGCCGGCTCTCCCGAGGGGGCAGGAGACGGGAGGCGGAGAGGAGGCTGCAAGGAATGAATTCCCGAGGAAAGAGGAGAAACTTGAGGGGTTCCCTAGTTAGGAGGTGGGGCCAGGGCCCCTAGATAACGCGAGGGCTCCCCATCACCCCAGGGAGAGGGCAGGTTACAGCGTAGAACAAAGAGGCTGGGAGTCGGGAGGCGCAGAGATCCGGGCACCCGCAGCTCGAGCGGCAGGGCAAGGGGCGGGAAGGGGCAGGCGCGCCCCGGGGACCGGGCACACCCCGGGGACGTGGTCGCCCACATGGACAAGCCGGCGCCTGAGGCGGCTCTGGGGCGAGCGCTCGCGAGCACCGCTCTGCGGAGGCGGACGGGGTTCGAGTGGGACCGTCTCCCACAGGGAGAAACGGCCTCCCAGGGCAGCGCTCTCCGAGACAAAGGTCCTGGGGCGCGACGTTCACGCTCGGGGAGCCAGCATTTCCCAAGCCCAGCGGGCTTCCCCGCACACTCACCGCGTCCGCTCCCAACGCCGGCTGCTCTAACTGCAGTTAACGGCCGGCGCAGGGGCACTCAGCGTGCACGCTCACGTGACTGGGCCGGGTTGCCCCGCCCCCGCCCCGCCCCCACGTGACCCGCACAGCCCGCCCAATCCACCTCCCCCGTCAAGTGGCCTTGGCTCGCCCCGCCTCCCCGGCAAGATGGCGGCGCCCAGATGCGGCGCGCTGCGCGTCTGGGTTTGGGGTTCCGGGCAGGGTGTGGGGGGTCTGCTCTGTCTCGTCTCAAAGCCATTTTGCACCGCTGCTGCTGCCTCTAAGCCCCTGGATGCCCAGCGGTTAGCCGAGAGGCTCCGAGCCCAGAAACAGGAACAAAAAGCGAAGAAGGTGCGGGTGAGTCCGGAGGGAAAGACTACAGCTCCCAGGAGGCAGTGCGCTCAGGGGTTCCCAAGGCTGGGAGTTAGGGTGAGGGGAGGGGTCCTGTCCGAGAATGCAATGACATGTCCAGGTCGGTGGTGGGAAAATGGGGAGAAAGCGGAGACAGAGGTCTGCAGCATACGGTGTCTTCCTGTGGGCTGGGTGTTTAGCTTCTGCCTGCTCCGTGCTAAGCATCCCCGCTCTCAATTTATTGGGGGAAGGCGTGAGTCTAATGCAAAGATGCAGTGATTCCTTCCCTGCCCGGATTCTCACCCAGACTTACTGAAGGTCTTCCCCACCAGGCATTTCCCATCTCGTTTTCTCTCCTCTAGGTGCTCACAAATCCTGTCCAGCGGAGAGTACAAGAACTAGTGCGGTTCACACAGCAGCTGCAGCGAGTCCACCCCAACGTGCTCGCTAAGGCACTGAGCCGAGGGATTGTCCACCAGGACAAGGACCTCGTGGTCATCAATAAGCCCTATGGTCTACCTGTGCATGGTAAGGACCAGGTGGGAAAGGGAAGAGAGGCCGCTGCTGCTTTCTGCTTCAACTAGGGGCAACACTTTGGGGGCTCTCAGAAGCCTTGCATTCAAAATAATTTACATTCTTGTGGAGTACTGTCCTATATAAGGCACTAGTGAGGAAACAGATAAATTAGACAGTTCTCACCTTCCACACATCTGGCACTCAGCAGTTACTTAATAGACACTCAAGTGTTTTTGAGTAAATGTTGAAAGTAGGTGTCAGAGACAACTGGAGTGAGTCAGGAAAGACAGGGGGGAAAAATGCATTTGTGGAAAGGGTTTTGCTGAGGGGAAATGCATATTTTAGCCAGAAGAATGATTTTCCAGGAGGTATGGAGAAGGTTGTACCTAAAGGTAAGGAATTGAACATTGCCAAGTGTTTTGTGTGGATTTTTTTCTCTGTTGACTCTCACAATAGTTTCTTGCCTTCTCCTTTCCCGTGAGATAATTATAATGTAGATATTTACATTTTATAGATGAGAAGACAAAGTTAGAAAGATTAAGTAACCTGTCCAAGGTCAGTGGCTAGGTAGGGGAGTACACAGAGTAGAACCTCAGGAGGGCATCACAATCTTGCGTTTCTCACTAGGGTCTATTTAACAAATTCTCAAGCCTTTGTTTATACAGTAAAATATCAGACTTTCTCATTTTAATTGCTGATTTTTGTGTGAGTACATGTACATAAGTAGATTAAAGCGTATTTGTGTCTGAGGAGAAAGCCCCACACTCTAGGACAGTGCTTCTCAAACTTTAATACGCATAAGAATTACTTGGGTGTATTGTTAAAATGCAGATTTTGATTAATAGTCTGGGTTGGGGGCCTGGGATTTCTTTCTAGCAAGCTCCTTGGGTATAAGGATGTTGCTAGTCCCTGGACCACACTTCAGTAATAAGGCTCTGGAAAGCATCAACAGTTAATCCACTAAGGGCTTTTTTCCCCAAGTAGAGTTATTTGGTGGGACTTTTTCCTGGCCACTCAAACCTCTGTCTTTTCCCTTCTTAGGTGGCCCTGGGGTCCAGCTCTGCATCAGTGATGTACTGCCTATCCTGGCAAAGATGCTTCATGGCCACAAGGCAGAGCCCCTGCATCTGTGCCACCGGCTAGACAAGGAAACTACAGGTGTAATGGTGTTGGCTCGGGAGAAGGAAGTGGCACACCAAGTCCAAGAGTTGTTTAGAACCCGTCAGGTGGCAAAGAAGTACTGGTATGAAGCCCGCTGGTAATGGTAGAGGTGGTAGAAATGAAGGCATCCCTTTCTCCTATTCATGCATTCATACAGCAGCAACTCCTACTATTCATAGAAGACACTGTACTAGGACCTGTGGGCGTTTAAAAGGCATAGGATTAGTCCTGGCCGGTTTGGCTCAGCGGTTAGAGTGTTGACCTGTGGACCAGTGACTCGAGGGTTTGATTCTGGTCAAGGGCACGTACTTTAGTTGCAGTTCATCCCTGACCCTGGTTGGGGTCATGCGGGAGGCAGCCAGTTGATGTGTCCCTCTCATGTCGATGTTTCTTTCTCTCCCTTTCTCCCACTCTATCTGAAGATAAATAGAAAAATATCTTTGGGTAAGGATTAAAAAATAATAATAAAATAAATAAAAGCTCTAGGATCATACAGCAGCAACTCCTATTCATAGAAGGCACTATACTTGGACCTGTGGGCATTTAAAGGGCATAGGAAACAGATTTAGTGCTTAGAACATTAGCATCTGATAGAGCAGTGGTTCCTAATAATGGCTGTACATTTATACAAGTAATACATGATTTCTTTTCTGTGGTAAAACAGTCAAACAACAAAGATAAAAAAATACCCAAAGGGCTCCTGGAGAATCCACCCACTTCCCTTAGGGTGGTTTGGTTTTTATTCCTCGGTCCTTACTCAACATATTTATGTATATATCTAGAATATACAGTACGTGTGTATGTGTATCTACACACACTTGTATGCGCATACATATATCACATTGTACAACATACATTGTACTTTCTTTTCCCACTTAACCCTGTATCTTGGGGATCTTTCCATGTTAGTGCACGTAGGTTTACCTCAGTTTTTTTTTATTTTTTAAACTTTTTTTTTTTAGAGAGAGAGAGAGAGAGAAACATCAATGAGAGAGAACATTGATTGGCTGCCTCCTGCATGTGCCTCCCCTCCACAGATCGGGCCCACAACTTGGGCATGTGCCCTGACTGGGAATTGAACCGGCGACCTCTTGGTGCATGGGTGGACACTCAACCACCGAGCCACACCGGCCGGGCTACCTCAGTTTTTTAATAGAAGAAAAATACAGGAGCAAAAATGAAACTACTCCTGTCCCCCCATCTACTCAATTTCCTTTTCCAGAGGCAATCTCTATGACTAGTGTCTTGTATAAACTTCCAGAGTCGTGTAGAAGCGTGTTACTGTGTGGCAGCATTTCTTGCACTGCTTTGTACCCTACTTTTTCCACGTGGCGGTATCTCGGAGGGCATTTCGTGGTGTACGTTTAGAGCCCGCTCTTTTGTACGGCTCTATGGTATTCCACGATGTGGATTATCGTCATTTCCTTATTGACAGATGTTTAGGTAGTTTCCCGTTTTTCAGAACCTATCACGAATAATATGTGAGTATATCGTCAGGACACATTCCTAGAAATGGAATCGCTGAGTTAAGGGTACACACAATTTAAAGTTTGAACACTTACTACCAAATCGCTCTCCAAAATAGGTGTGTGAGTTTTTACTCTCACCAGCAGGGGTGAGTGTCCCCCTCCTCATGCCCAATGGATGTGTTTTTAAAAGATTTGCCACTCAGCTGGATTTTTTAAAAAGGAGTGTTTTATTTTCAATTTGCCCATTTTCTGTTGGGTTGTTTATTATTTTCTATTTGATTTGTAAGTATTCTTCAGGAATGGTTCTCTGAATTTTTGTATTTTGAATGAAATAATGCGTGTTGAAGTGTTTAACACAGTACCGAGCTCATAGTAAAAGCTGAAAGGTGGAAAATCAAGACTATCATTGTGTATACAGTAATCAAAATGTAAGTCTATAAAAAATTGTTATATTATTTGTGAAAATGGTCCACGAAAGTTCAGAATTGGTAACCACTCTCATAGTAGGCTTCACAGAAGAGTTGAAATCAATTAATTGGGTCTTGATGAGTGAATAGGGTTTGAGCGACAGGATGAAGACGTGTGTTGTAGGTGGTGGGAATGGCCCACGAAGGAGTGAGGCCTCCAGCCCAGCTCGGAGTGGCGGCTGGTGGCAGGTAGAGCTGGAAGGTAGCCTGGAACCTAGTAAATGAAGTTACTAGTAGAACATAGTAGGAACGATTAGCGTTTGCTGATAGCAACTTGTTATGTTATAGTTATTTGTTTGAGTTTGTTTACTAGACTATGAATTCCTTGAGAGCAGGGATTTTTGTCTTGTTTGTCTACATAGAATTAGTACCTATTGAATTAGTGCCTGTTTACGTCCAGTGAATGTTCACTGACTGAACGTTTGAGCAGTAATGTGGGGTCATCAGGAAGGGTGATCTAGTAGTTATAGCTCAGTTTAAATGTGATAAAATACACCAGATACCAACCTGAAGTGGGGCATCCAGGATGTGAAATGTTACATCTGAGTGGGCTTATTGACCCCTTGGTCAGTGACTCTGGTAAGTCGCCTGGTACCTAGGAGGACTCCTCTGTGATTGACCTGGAAGAGGCTCGGATGCAGGACAGATTGTATGGTCTCTTACCTGTCTATGATGGGACAGCGTGAGACCTCCGGTAGAAGTGATTCAGAGTGAGTTACTGAGGTGTGGTTGTGGTTTCTGTGACTGTGTTGAGTACAGTTCTTTACTGTTTTATCTCCTGGCAAATAGAGCAGGAATGGTTCTCTGAAATTTTCATTCAGTTCATGAATTTATTTTTTTCATTTCTTTCATATGCAATCAGAACTTACCATCTTTTATTATTTAAAAAAGAAAAAGAGGATACAGAAGCCATATTACTCTAATTTTACTTTAAACTATACATACTCAGTTTTAAAGGCTGGAATGAAAGACCATGTTATTAACATAATTTTTTTTTTTGTTTTCCCCCCAAATATTCTACAATTAACGTTTGTTACTTTAGGACTAAAAGAGATAAGTCTGTAAGAATAGTATCAAGCTCTCAGGCTAAGCACTACACCAAAAGATCATGTGGGACCTTCTGATCTTAAGAACCGACCACAGTAGGTCCTCTGTTAAAACCTCTAAGTAGCCACATCTGAGGAATGCCTCACTCACTCTTGTGGCTCAAGCAGGGGTCTGTGTGTCCCCGCAGGGCCATCACTGTGCACGTCCCAGTGCCCTCAGCAGGGGTCGTGGACATCCCCATCATCGAGAAGGAGGTGCCTGGGCAGCAGCAGCATCACAAGGTGGGTGAGCTGCCTCCCGGAGGGACGGGCTTTCTGCTTGTCTTCTGAAATCACATCTTGGTGTCTGGCTTCAGATGACGCTGTCCCCAAGCTACCGCATGGACAATGGGGAAATGGTGAGAGTGCGGACCAGCCGGAAAGCGCGCGTGGCTGTAACTCAGTACCAGGTGCTAAGCAGCACCGTGTCCTCCGCCCTCCTGGAGCTCCAGCCTGTGACTGGTGAGGGCGCCGCCAATCCACGGTGGGAGGGTGTGTCCCAGCGCTGCCGAGCGCGTCCTGGGCCTGGGCTCTGCCCTCCTGAGCAGCTGGTGCTGTGGGGCTGCCTGCAGCTGATGGCGTGAGAGCGCTTCTGGGGCTCGGCTAAGGCCCGCGGCTCCAGGAGGGGTCATCGTTCAAAGCAGTAGGTAGCAAACGGTTTGTTTACACTTTTTAAAAATTTGCCAGGTGGATCTGGCCAGTTTGGCTCAGGGGTTAGAGTGTCAGCCTGCGGAGTGAAGGGCATGTTACCTGGGTTGCAGGTTCAGTCCCCGGCCCTGGTTGGGGTCATGCGGGAGGCAACCAATCCATGTGTCTCTCTCACATCGATGTTTCTCCCCCCCCCCATTTCTTCGTCTCTCTAAAAAAAAAAAAATTAATGGAGAAATCTCGAGTGAGGATTAACAACAACAACAACAAAAAGTGTATAACAATACCATTTAGTGTTACACAATAAAATTATTTTTGAAAAACCCAGCATGGCGGGGACAGACACCACGTTGGTTATCTGGTGGAGAGGGGAAATTGAAGGTATAACAGCATTCATAACATTTCCTTCCTAATAGCCTACAGTATGTTATTTTATTCTTTATCACTTTAATGTAGTTGGGGCTTCGCCAGTTTACTCGGCTTTGATTTACTAGTAATAGAAGCAGATGCCGCCAGAGGCACTGTTTTTGGAGCCACTGATAAGTCTTCTCTCTCTTATCTGAAGGAGTGAAACATCAGCTTCGAGTTCACCTGTCTTTTGGATTGGATTGCCCAATCCTTGGCGATCACAAGTACTCAGACTGGAGTAGATTGGCCCCGCAGGTAATATGGGTTTGACCTGCAGTGCAGCAGACTGTGCGGCAGAACTTACCTTTCCCTGTGTGAAAAGCCCGAAGTGAGGCACCGTAGGATGAGCTGCTGGTCTCCAGACACGCAGCACACGAGTTATCCAGCTTAGGCAGAGAGTCAGGAGCAGCCAGCTACGGTCATGCAGCTGCAAGATCTCTGAGCAAACCCTTTCTCCTTCATTTGTTTGGTCTCAGATTTTGCTCGGAGGGTGGGGGTTGGGCAAGGCTTTCTGAAGCCTCCAAGCTGCTGCTCCAGAGCCAGGTGGACCCTTTCTTGTCTCGGGGTTCCAGCCCGTGCTCGTGGAGGGCCAGAGGACTGGCCATTAGCGCTCCCATTGGAGCTTGCCTGGGTCCTGAGACTTCCCAGACATGCATTTTCCAGGAGTATTCGTACTGGCTTCCTCCAGGTACAAGGCACTGTGTGTTGGTCAGGGATGAACTGTTGTTGGCATTGCTCTCAAAAGGCCGTCTTTTCTTTGTGCAGAAGCTGTCTGTTGGCACTCTGAGGAAGCTGGGGCTGCCCCAGTCCAAGGCCCGCCACATCCCTCTGCACCTGCATGCCCGCCAGCTGATCCTGCCTGCCCTGGGGTCAAGGAAGGAGGAGCTCAGCTTGGTGTGCAGGCTTCCTCGCTACTTTGCACACTCTCTGAGCCGTCTGGGCTTAAAGCTGCCGAGTCAGGAGCCAAACAGGGATGACAAAGCTGGGCCTCTGGGAGCACAGTGAAGACTGCTGGGCAGTGTGGCCCTTGAATTCTTCGCTTTGTTGAATGGACTCGGCTAACTTCTCCCCTGGGACAGACTCCAGACGAGCCAGGTGTGAGAAGTTGAACCTCAGCTGCTCCAGGGTTTTTACTAGAAACTCAAGTCTGGTTCCTGATACTTGGGCCACACTCCAGAAAAGCCTGTGGGAAGTCTCCCTGCCTCAGGCTCATCTTGGCGGTGAGGAGAGCCCAGGAGCAGGCAGATTGGGTCGGTCCTTGGGGAGGAGAAGGCGGCGTAGGATCTATGAGCGGGCCCTGTTTCCATCCAGCAATAAAGTTCTTGATCTGTCGGGAAGGTCCCTGTGTGGGAAAGAGCGTGCTTGTTACTGACACGCAGAGAAATTCTGAAGCAGTTCGTTCCTGCCCCACGGAGCTGCAGGGTCCGCGAACAAACCCTTCCTCCTCCGTTTGCCGTCTCGGGTTTCGTAGACACGGAATCCAGGGCTTCTCCCCAGCCGCAGCGTGGGAGCCGTGCTGCGCTAGTGGTCAGGGGCCTGGGAAGGGTGCAGGTCAGCAAGGAAAGCAGACAGCACGGCAGGCAGGTAGCACGCACGAGTCGATGTAAGGAGCGCACGGCTGTCTGAAGAGGGCACACGTTGGCTCCGCCTGGGTGTTGCTTGTGGGAACAGCTTATTATTTTCAGAATCAGGAAATCCAGATATTCATGTAAAATCTCCCAGTATGTTGCTCACTAAATCAGATTTTTTAAAAAATCACTTAAGCAGCCAAGTGGATCATACCGGACTTGGTCCGCAGGCTTGCAGTCTGTTTTTAAAGCATGGCGGGAAAGTTTGGGGAAAGGTGCCATCTTGAAAGTTCCTGATCAGTGGTTGGTGTTTCAGCTACATGTTCTTTCTGGACTAGCCAGGGGATAGCTCTGGTTAATCTCTGAATGTGTGGTCGTGAGGGTGCTGCCATGTTTTGTTTTTTATAATTGATTTTCGAGGAAGAGAGAGAAAGACATCGATGAGAGACAACGTTAATTGACCACCTCCTGCAGGCCTCCCACTGGGGATCAGGCCCACAGCCTGGGCATGTGTTCTGACCAGGAATCAAACTGGCGACCTCTTGGTGCATGGGCCAACGCTCAACCACTGAGCCACACGGGCCGGGTGGTACTGCCATGTCTTAAAGCTGTTTGTTTGGGAAGCAAGCCTCCTCCTTGGGTCTCAGGAAGGAGATGGCCGTGCTGAACAGCATCAGGGATGGAAACAGCTGGCCGCCCGCTCAGTTGTCCTGCTAGCTCCCGTCTTGTTTCTTGCACCAAATACACGTACTTGACTCTGGCTGAGCTGAGAAAAGTCGGAGGGACCGCAGTTGGGGAAAAGCGCCAACAGCAGCCTTTCTGTGCTCTCGGTGTTGCTCGGACAACTTGGCATAACCCTCCCCCGTTTCCATGATACCCGTTCCAGTGCGTGATGGGTACACCTGAAACAGGCAAGTAACCACATTTCTGTATGTAAAACTTAAATATTTTGGTGGTGGTTTCTGTTTATATTAAACCTTGCCTCTCAAGATAAAAGTACAGGCATATGACTCTTGGAAAATTGACAATTGACTTTGATTCGGGGAGATAAATGTAGAAGACCCCTGGTCCTGTGAGTGTCGGGAGAAATCCCAGGCCCCCAGGGGGCCAGCTCAAAGGCACCAGGCAGCAGTCTGGTCAGAGGGACCTGCTGCCCCTGCACAGATGCTCGCGGGGTTCAGTGCCACGGTGAGGGGGTGGGGGATAAGGACCCTCTTCCTTTTCTTGTCTGTTTTCTTGGTCTTGCTGGGAGCTCTCTTTAATCATTGAAAGTAATCTCCGAGAACTTCTACCCCAGGTTGGTGTGGCCTGGGAAATGGGTTACACAGCAAAGGAGGCTGGAGTGTGCCTCAAATGAAATACTGGGCCTATAGTCGGTATAAGAAGACGGTTTGCATTCTTTTTATTCAGATTCTACGTGCACATGATTTAAAAATCAAGAACCAGGAAGCTTGTCATGAAACCCAGTGTTCTTTGAGCATCTGGAGCTTCTGTTTTTAACTCTCCAAGTGTCTCCTGTGTGGTTCTGGGAGGTGCTAATAGTTTTCCTCAGGAGCTGTTCCAGTGTGATTGTTGAAAAGATTCTTCCATCCATGAAATTGTTTTGGTAACTAACATTTTTTAAGGTCGTGCCAGGGTACATTTTAATTATTTTAAACCAAGCTCTGGCCAGTTTTATCAAAGAAAAATTTCACACGATTTATTTTTCACCAGTCTGTTCTGGCATGCTTCCGATGATACCAGAATCACCTGGAAAATAAAATAGTAATTATTTTATAGTTTATTTAATGGCAGGTGGTCATGAAATTAGCAGTGGCTATCGTCGAGTTATTATACTAGCTGTGCCGTCATTTCCTGGGGTTGATTAAAGTCACCCAGAGTCAGACATTTCCCACCAAAGCTGCATCATACAAATCAAGATTTGGTTTATCACCAGCATTTATAAAACCAGACCAAGGGAAAGAACTAGGTTTGGGGACACGTGCATGGTCTTAATATAGCGAATGTTTAGCCCGCCCTGATTATTAGAGTATATTTTAGTTTTATTCCAGTATTACTGTGAAGGAAGCAAAACAAGAAATAACGATCATTTCTGGTTTGGCCATGAGATGGCAGCACTCTCCCAGGTTTTATCCCTTTCCAGGCTGAGCTACTGTGAAACATGGGGACCGGTTTTAGTCAAGTAAGGAGTATCCTGCACAGGAGTGTTGTGCTGTCTTTCTCTGACCTCCTTCTAACCCTGACCTCAGGTACCCCAGCACAGTCCATCTCGGTCCCCTGCTTTTTTAGAAAACCTGGAGTTTTCTGTACTCGGGGGGAATGCAGTAGCAGGGCTCCTGACTGTGGCTTGGACTACCCGAGCGGATTTGAAATAGAAGTTGCTTCACAAACACAGTTGTAGAAGTACATAGGAGAGAGAGCCGTGGAATGCACCGCCAGGCCCTTCCCCGCTGTCCAGACACCGAGTGGAAACGCACGGACCTGCCACCTGGTTGCACAGCTTACCCAAACTGTCAAGGGTTCTTAGCTCTTGGCTGATCTTATTTTGATGCAGGTTAGTAAAAAATTGCAACCCTTCTGTTGACGAGAAACACTGATTTGGTAGTTATAAGTGATTTCAGCCAATAGAAACAGGTTGCATATTGAATAAATAGTGGAGGGAAAGCAAGGGTGACACGACTGGAAGCCACCACGCTGTGTTTTAGGTGCCGCGAACGTGTCTGTGCCCCCCCCCCTTCCCTCCTCCGTCTGTCCTAGATGGTGAGCTCCCCTCCCCCACGACCCAGCTGCCCCCACAGCCTTTCTGACAAGGAGTTAGGCATCCTCAGGCCATCATCACCTCTGGCCCACCTCCCAGTCGTATCTTGGGCCTCTGAACCCCAGCCTCTGAGCTGAGTGCACCCCTTGTCCTAACTCATGCTAACCAGACTGTCCTGGGGGAGCGGTGAGGGTGGGTGCAGGAAAGGGGCAAGCAGCAGGGATGGCAGAGATCGGGGGCCGCGCCAACCTGTCTGTCAGCACTTGGGGCTGTGACCGTCTGTCCATCAGCAGCTTCGAGGAGCCAGGAGTGATGACCTGGGCCCATTCAGGGAGCCGAGCAACGGGAAGGAGTCCCCACTTTGATGTGAGCAGTGAGGTCAGCGAGGGAGCAGGAGGTGAGGGCCGGGGGGAGGGTTGCGCAGACAATCTCCTCTCCCATCACAGGCGTGCATGAGGGAAGACGCCAGCTTGTCTTCTCCCTTCTTTCATTGCCCCTTCCTGCGCTATCTCTGATCTCTCCGCCCAGGCCTCCGGGCTGCCCCGGGCTCCTTCCCAGACCTCCGGCCTGCGTCCTGACTGTGGCCCCATCACCCGCTCACATACTTCTTTGGAGGGGGAATGAGGGACGTGGTTGGAGGGGGTAGCAGGGGACAAAGGGTGCTGGCAAGGGAGCCCCTGGGGTGGGGGCCAAGCCATCAACTTCATTCGTAGGGGCCTATGGTGATCGCTTCATGTGTGAAACACCCAGTTCTCAGAGTCAGGAGAATTTTCCCTTTGGAATCAGGAATCTCAGTGTTGGGAGGGGTCTCCGGGGTCAGTGGGGTCTCTACCTTCAACTAGATCGCGAACAGGCAGCTGCCCAGCCAGGACTTACGTGTGTGCACTGCGAGGAGCTGAGCCTCTGCTGGTTCCCACCTCACCGCTGGGAGAGAGGTGAAAGGAACAGGGAGGGGAGGGGGGACAGAGGACAAGGACCTGGGAGGATAGCCGCAGAACTCCTTGCAGTCCTGCCGCACACACCACTGCCACCACCACCGCCGCTGCCACCGCCGCCGCCACCACCATCACCGCCGCCACCACCACCACCGCCACCACCCCCGCAGCCTCCTTGAGCCAGGCCTGAAAGGCTGCCAGCTCATCCTGGCCCAGCCAGGGAGTCTGGCCTTTTCCTGTCTAAAGTTACAGAATTTTCCAGAACTTTCCCTGTTAGGCTTTTTTTTTTTCTTCCCCTTTTCTGGAGTTATAAACCAGATCTCCCCTGTCCCTTACTTTTCAGGCCTAGGGAGGGAAAGCCAAAAAGGGAAAGAAAGCAGGACAGCCTCTGAGCACACCGCAGGCTGACCCCCCTCCTTCCCTCCCTCCCGGAGGGGTTCCAGGCGCCTCATGGTAACAGTAATCTCAATGTTCAACGTTTGTTGCTCATGCCGAGCCCCCTACATGTATTAGCTCATTTAAAGCTCCCAATCACAGCCTCGTGATTAGAATCTTCCTGGTTCTCATTTCTGTGTTACAGGTGAGGGCCATGCAGCCCGGAGTGGAAACTAGACCCCTGAGGTCTCATTGGTTACACAGCAGAACTAGGTTGTGACCCAAGTCTGTCTATCTTGGGCGCATTTCTGTTCACCTCCAGTGGCCCAGGTGTTCTAGAGGTCAACGGGGAAGTCTCAGGTGTCCCCTCCAGCCTTCCCAGATCACAAGTGGTCCGGAAAGGAGAGCGAGGTGTGTGCCTGGCCTGGGGAAGCAGCTCCCAGTGGGGAGGTTCCATCCCCACCCTGCCGCCAGCTGGCTGCGTCCCAGGCTCTCTGGGCCTCGGCGTCCTCACCTGTACAAGCTTGGGAGGAGGCAGCGCCTGTCACCTCAGGCTGCAGCCAGAGCCTGAGATCCCTCCTCATTGCAGGCCCCCGAGTCCGATTGTGCCGAGATGACTGATTTGGGAGAAGACAGCCCACAGCTTCGGCCTCTCGGGAGGGCGGTGCAGTCACTCGGTATTTGGATCCACCCGGAGTACTGCCTGTCACCGAGGCAGAGCCTCCCGCAGAGCCCGGAGCACAGGGCCTTCCTGTTCTGCCGGCCCTGGCCAGGCCCCACCACGCGGGCAGTGAGTGGCACAGCAGCCACTCCTCGTGTGGAGCACTCGGGGGCCTGGGCACGGTGCCGTGTTCTGTCCTGTGGGACTGTCGAACCCTCACAGTTCCGCAAAGGAGGTCATTTGGAGGCCAGGAAATGAGAGTTCAATTCGCCCAATGGCCTGCAGCTCGGGTCAGGGGCTGAGGTCCGAGCGCACACCCTTGTCCCTCGTGCTAGGGTGCTGCCCAGTTTTGGGTGCAGTCCTAGATTCCCACCGATTTTTCTAGAGAGGAGGCAGGCGTCGGGTGAGGCGCTCTGGGCCCTGAGTACACTTTCCCAGAGCCCCAGGGGATGGAGAGCAGCCCAAACTGTTCTGTCCTCACTGCAGTTGAGGGTGAAGCAGAGAAGGGCAGGGGAATTGGGTCCTCCCCACTGTGTGGGAGACTGGAGTCCCGAGCTGGATGTGTGGTGGCCTTACTGGGAGCTGCCAGACCATCCGGAGTGTCCAGAGCCCCGGAGTGACGTGAGGAGCTCCCAGTCACTTGGGAGATTGCCCGGAGGACAGGTGGGAACACAGTTATTTCCCAGACCGGCTTGTTCACCAGGGCCAGAGCCGGAGCCGGAGCCGGGACTTGGGAGTGAAGGACGGGGCAGACACCCCGCCATGGCCCCGGCCTGGAAGTGAGCAGCTATGACGGCGACCGGAGAACGCAGCCCTGCCTGCAGCCCTGCCTGCAGCCCTGGGGCCTTGGCTCCCCCAGGACCATGGGGTGGTTTGAAGGTGCTGGCTTGAAGCCAGGATTCTTTGGTTCCTGAGCTTCAGGTCAGAAGCCCAGGACGCCAGGACTAAAGGAATCCCAAGATCTGCCATCGACTCCTTGCCCTGTCCCAGAACGGAGGGCTGAGGTTGCTCGGTCAGCCCGCAGGCTCACGCAGCACCCAGCATCACTCGTCCCGCAATTTAGCTGCCACAGTGCGGCCACTGTTGGATGCAGGGGGAGGGGCAGGGCAGGCCGAGCCGAAGGCGAGCAGAGGGGAGAGCCCGGGGCGAAGGGACACCAGCAGCTTTGTTCCCTAGTCCACCTTCTAGGGCGGGAGGGGGTCTGTGGTGGCCCCACAGCCTATCTGGCAAGCAGGCCCGTGTCTGGGCCGGGGAATTAAGCTGTCGTCACCTTCTCAGCATGAATAAGGCCTGGGGGCTGTGACAAGGGCTGTCAGTGCTGGCGTCCTGTCCCAGCCATCGCTGACAGGCCGGCGGCTCAGGACACCTGGGAGAGACAACACTGAGAGAGCAGGGTGCAGGGCCTGCCGGGAGGGCAGATGGGGACACAGCAACCTTTGTGTGCACCTGACCAGGCTGGTCTCGAGCTGCTTCCTGTTGGGGGCTGTGTCCCTGTCCGGCCTCCCCACTTGGACTTTGAACATTGTGTCCACCCCCAGCCCACGCTCTGCCACACACACACACACACACACCCGCCCTCTCTCCACCAGACATGAGCTTCTCTGGAGAGCGTGGCCTGGGCTATGGGGACAGGAATGAGCTTCGGGGTGGTGGGTGACACTGGCTGTTTGGCATCGGTCCCATCCCCCTCCCTCTCAGCCTCTGGGGCAGCTGCCAGCCACCCTGCCAGGTGCCAGAGGCTGAAGTCAGGCAGGTGTGAACTGGTGGGAGACGTTTTCAGAGGCAGGATCCCAGGTGGCACCCAGAGCCCGTCTTGGAGGAATCCTTGCTGCAGTGGGAGCTGAGCCCAGCCCGAGAGGAGACAAAACATCCTGTGTTCCCCAGCCAAGTCCTCGGGGGCCTCTGGCCTGACAACCCTGAGCAGTGCTGGGGACCAAGGTTCTAGGCCCTGGGCCCAACCCAGCTCGTTTCAAAACTGCAAGACCGGGTAACTGGCACTGCAGGTGGGCAGGTGTCGGGGGTGACAGGGCTGCAGCTGCAGAGGGCCTCGAAGTGGGTGGGATGCGCGGTTCATCAGTGGGAACTGCGCGTGCGCTCTCGGCCTCCTCTGACCCCTCAGCGTTTTCCAGAGAAAAATGCCCTCATCTCCAGCTTCCGAGTCCACCCTCCTCTGGCCCATCCTGGAATCAGCCAGGAGGGGATCCAGGCCAGGATCTGGGGTACAGCAGGGGGCACCTCTGACCTTGCAGTCTCTGCAAAAGGGATGAAGCCCTGGGTGGACCTGGCACCTTCCTGGCCTCAGGAGCTGAGGGTC